ATATTTATTATTTTTATCATACCCATTCCCCCTCTTTCTCTCTCTCTTTTCACTCTCGTAATTTTTCTCACTTTGTCTCATGCTTACTCTCCATATCTTTTTATCTGAATCTCTCATTCTTTCTGAATCTAACATTTTAGGTAAATCGCTTTATTTTTAAGTTAGAAACTGTTCTTAAGGTGCCACTCTATCTTCTTCTCTCCCTTTCTCTCTCTCTCTCGCTTATCACTTATCTTTATTGTCTAAAAACACAGCTCGCCTTTCTACGCGATTTTCATTATTTTAAATAGAGCACAAAACCCGTTCAGTTCAAATGTATTTTTTTGATAAATCATAGTTGATGTCTACATTCGGAGCGTATCACTAATTTATACATTTTTGCTTCCATTTCAGCTTCGACTTGTTCAAGGACAAATAAATCCCACGCACAAACGCACACATATCCAGCGGATCAATTAATCGTGTCTAACTGAAAGAAACTGTGAAAATGCTTAACTTTTACCAGAAATGCAATAAGAATAATTGTTGGCAGTTAATAAAAATGCGGCAAACTCATGTTTTAAAACAAACAAATGAAATTTAACAATTTCTAAAACTTGACACAATTAAATGCATCAAATATAAAAATATAAAAAAAAACGCCAACTTGTTAATCGAAAAAATCAAGTGGAAATCGTCAATAAATAAAAACAAATTTGAAATTCAGTTGGTAAACTATTTTGTGGCTTTGCAGCACGCAAAACCAACATAAAATAAATAAAAATAAACAAATAATATGAAATTCGTGCGAGTAAATTGAAAATAGTTTATTCAGTGGTTCGGTTACAAAGCCGCAGATTCAATCGAAACCTAAATAATAAAAAAAAAGAAGGAAAAACTGTCAAATTCTCGCAAACACAAAATGGAGCGCAATCATTTGAGCTGCTTTCTGGCCCTGTTGCTGGGCGTGTTAATATTCCAAAAGCGCATATGCCCAGCTGTTGCCGATCAGGATGAGGATATACCACACAACGAGTAAGTAATAGTTATGCACATTATCTCCAGCTGTTGGTCAAATGATTTGGTTTTTTTATGCATAGTTGGGCATAATGATTTTATGCAAGTGTATGTTACAGAGAGCAAGGGGTATCTCCGATCCCATCAAGTATATATATATATTCATTCAAAGATATTTCATTGTCTGAAAGATATAAATAGTTTTAAATACCAAACATGCATAAATTATTGTTAATTCAAGCTCCGATTGCATAATTAAACTCTAATTGAAGTCAAAGTCAGATGTCAGGGTATCTACTGGTCGTTCACTACTTCGCACACACTGGTTGTTTTTTTTTTTTAAGCCCCGTTTCAATTATGCATAATTGAAAATGTATATCGAAGCGATGCAAATCGTTTTGTATCATTTCCCCCTGCAGGAAATTAATTGTAAATTTGTTTATTTCGCACATTTGCATGCGCAGTGTATAAATTATTCGCCACGCAATGTTAACTCAAATGCTAATGGCCATAAATATGTTATCAATAAGTGCACATATATCATGTAAACAAACTGCTGCCATATTGATGCGAATTTCGACAATTGCTCAGATTTGTTTTTCTTTCTCTGCTGTTTACAACTACGGGCTAAATTATGAGCAATAGAAAGGCTATTGTAAAATTGTTGAAATATTGCAAATCAAATAAATAATAGGAAACTTAAATTTATAATTCAAGGCAATTGATTGTCTGCAGATTTCTGTTATCTTATATGAAGTGTTTTTTATACCCTGAACCCATTAAAAATGGGTATTAGGGTATATTGTTTTTGTGTAAAATCCAAATGAATGTAACAAGCAGAAGGAAGCATCTCCGACCCCATGAAGTATATTTATTCTTCATCAGCATCAATAGCCGAGTCGATCTAGCCATGTCCGTCCGTCCGTCCGTATGAACGCAAGGATCTCAGAACATATAAGCGCTATAGACTTGAAATTAGATGTATATGCTCCCAGTGCCTGCTCAGATCGAGTTTGTTTCCGATAATCGATAACTTACTCCGTTTCCAAGCAATCGATCAAAATCGATATCGATATCCTATTTTTTGGCCAATTTTGGTAAATAATAAGAGTTAGAGTCCCCAAACTTGACATACAGCTGCTAAAATAGAATATATATATGCATTTGATGTTGAAAGAAGCAGGTTCAGGTTATCCCCTAGTCGGGAGCTCCCGACTAGAACCTCTTACTTGTTACTTTTTGTCTGATATATCTACAAGAATTCGTATGTTATGTTTGAAAGAAACTACGAAAGCTGTCATTTTATAAATTATGTAAATAATATAGATATGTAATTATGTAAAACATATTAATATATAATTTTAAACGGAAAACATTTAAAGTATTGAGAATTATTTTTGGGAATGTTATTAGTCTGGCTACAATTTAAATAACCCAAAGTCGCATTTCTCACGTAAATTAATGATAAAATTATGCAAAAGAGTTTTGCAAAATGTATAAATGTGTGTTTCGCTTTAATACTATATCTTGACTTGGCTATTTATGAGCTCGCTTTACGACCTTCCAATGTCTAATGACAAGCATCAAATTGAACTTTTCTATATATTCGTACGAATGACGTCGCAACTTTTACCATTCATCTCATTTATAACCCATTATTTTTATGATTATTACTTTGTTTACCACACACAATATGCCAATTTATTGGGCCAAAAGGAGTTGCAGCATCATTAAAACTGTGCATAAAAATAATGAGCGCCAAACTTGGGAAGATTCTCAAATATACATATATACATATATTATATATATATATATATATATATATATATATATATATGTTTATATAGACAGATATACAGTGAGAGCTGGGCACCTTTGGCAGACAGTTTTGAAACGAATTTCAAATTCAATTTTATATATTTGCTAAATGTGGTCTATAGAGTGCTGTTCACATGTGTCGCTGAGTAGCTTGACGCTTGTGTGAGTATCTAATGGATACATAATAGGATTTTGCAATTAGCGTGGGTGTGCGAGAGTGTGCTGGTGTGTGTGTGTGTGTGTGTGTGTGTGTGTGTGTGTAAGTGTGTGACAGTCACGTAACCGCAACGTTCACTTGGCTAATTAACCCAAAACCAACTGCCATTTACAGTCCAGGCCCCCTCCTTCATAGACAGAAAACAGAACGAATTTTTGTCACAGGAAGACAGGAAGGATGTTAGACAGACAGTAAGGCAACCAGGGTACTAAGTGGTTTTTTCTTTGTTTAATGTCACTTTTATTTATTGAAATTAGATTTAGCATTCACTTTGTCATGTTGCTTTCTTTTATTGTTAAGGCTTTCATAGCTATCTCTCCGTGTCGTTGGCAACTTGACAAACATTCATTTTCCTTGAAATGCTCTTAACCTAATAATAGAAGTTTCGCGTAACATTTACGGGTATAAAAAAGCAACATTTTAAAAGTATTTTGGCAACATTGACAAGTCCTTTTTAAACTTTAATATAACTAAGAGCTTGTTTTATCAGTTAACCAACTGTTAGTTTTTAATTGCAAAATCACTGCTTAGGTGTAGCATACTTTTAGGGCTAATTGTGCTAACTAACATAGCGCTGTGTGCATCTTCGAATTAACTTTAACATAGGCATACATAATTTTGTAACTAAACCAATTTAGTTTTCTGGTGAATCTCATAATGTGTATGATAGTTAGGATAGAAAAACTATTTTCTATCTCTTATCAACCCAACTAAGTCAACGGTATTAGGGCACGATCACAATGTTAAAGATCAGCCCCCTTCTCAGTGCACGATGCACATATGTTAATTTTAACAGTGCCATTACAGTTTATGTTAGCATCCATAGACTCTGTTATTACCGGCAACAACTGCTTATGTTAGCTCCAACTTAACATAACTGTTAAATGTCGCTAAATAATGTACAATTAAATAGGGTTTTTTAGCGTACGCATGCCATTGTCATGCCGCAAATATGATACTTGTGTTCGACTTTTTGTTTGGCATTATTCTCTTATTCTGTAGGCTTCGACATTTTGCGTAAATATTAATTTCATTAATTTGAAACATAAACTTTCCATGGCTTTCTTACTGTATTTTTATTTTTTGGCTTTTTATTTGTTGCTGTTGGCTTTTGTGTGTCACTGCAGAAATTCAATTAAATTTATTTCAACTTTTGCTGCCAGCTACGAGAACTACAAAAACAACAACAAGAGGCGCCTTGAGGGCACAGCCTTGACGGTTATGTTTGGGGCACATAATGATGATGATGTTGATGATGATGATGATTAAGTTGCGCCTGTTTCGGGGCAGCCCCTCATTGCTTTTGATGTAACTGACCCAAATCGTGCTTATGCTCGCTAATACTAGAACTCGTTCCTTTTGCTTTATTCTTTCAACGGATTTATCCTTAGCCCTGGCCACATTCCGGCTCACTGCTCTTGCCAGCTGTTGTTGTTGTTGTTGTGCTGATTCATATGCCTCATTTTCAGTTTCAGCATTTCCGATTTTAGTGCAATTGCTTTGCTTAAAACTTCAGCGATTCGTTAGCAGCTGCATTGACATTTTGAGGCTGGTCACGTGCCGTGGTCAACAAGATTGAAAAGTCGGGTAAGAAGGCAACATTTTTAACTGGTCCCAGCAATGGAAAGATTGCAACGGTTCTTAAGGATAATTACCTAAAACAGATGGCGCAAATAGTTTCGTTTGGAGGGCAAAAATGCTAGCTTAAAGAGGAAAAAGCGGCAATTCTCGGGTTGAATATTAAGCTTATAATTAATAAAAAAAATTTCAAAGCAATTAAACAAAAAACAGTTTTGATTATAAAGAAGATGAGCTGGAGAGTGTGTTAAAAACGAGTATTGTGTTATATTAATTTTAATCTATGTTAAATCTATGTTATGTGAAATTGCTTGTTGGAAATGATAGCTGAAAATAGTTGGTCAACATAAACGTTGCAGTTTTCGAACTGTGAATTAAATTGGCTAAGGTATTGATTTTGGCTGTACCTTTGCCCATCTTTATTCAAGAATCTTTATTATGATAACAATTATATGATAATACCCTAATCACAACTGCGACGAGCCTCACAAATATACAAACTAACGCTGTTGCAATTATAGTCATTCAACCCTAGTGTGTTGTGTATGTGGTCACAGTGTTCGTTATCAAATCGATTATTAGGCTCGCCAGGTGCCCAAATATTTATATTCAATGGTAGTCCAGTTGTAAACCAGGAATGTTTACCATTGACAGCCAAATCAGTTCCTGACGTCCAGTATTTTCCATCAATGTTCTTATCAGCAATATACTTATTAACAGCTTTCCATTCCTCCAATGTTTCAAATGTGACCAATTCGGCGCTCATACGATGACAAGCCTCACTGGCATCAAACCAGTTCTTTGCTGTATTTGTCTCAAAGTAATATATACCATTTTGGATTATAGCGAATTCGGCTGGTGGCACTGTGTTTATGAATTATGTATTAAATCTGTTAAATATGCCTGGTAAAACGCATGTTAAAGCAACTTAACATTACCGACAGGATCTGCTAAAACGATAGCCACCACGCTGAGAGTTGAGAATAGAGCTAATGAATGCCCGAACATTTTTGCAAGACTGAATAACTAGCATTATTGTTAGAAGCCCTTTTATAGGTAACAATAAAGAAAGTTATCGATCATGTACTTTAAATTTGAAGATTACTTATCGCAAAACCTACACTAGACTTCTTTGTTTCAAGCCTCGCAGCGGAAATAAACTGCAGCCCATTTGTTGATAGTTGAACTTATCTTTATTTGATATGTATAACAATTTTTTTAGTGAGTAACTAATTGTTTTACTTGAAAAATCAATCAATAACGAGTACTCATAGTCGGCGATTTGATTGGAGGCGTCTACTTCACAATACGCAGCTTTGAGCTTACGTTGGTGTTGATAAATATGTAGAATATATGTAATAAATTTAAGGGACCGGTTTTTTTTCCAGGTTAAAATATTTGCATAGTTTTGTAAAATCAAAATTTATAAGTAGCCATTTTCAAAAAAAAAAAACAAAACAAAATTCACGATACTTTTCATTGAATTTTTTGTAAAGAACAAAGTCTGTTTAAAATACAAATTTTATATTAAAACAAGTAAGAGGTTCTAGTCGGGAGCTCCCGACTAGGGGATACCCTGCTCCCTCTTCTTCCAACATCAAATGCATATATATATCCTATTTTAGAAGCTATATGCCAAGTTTGGGGACTCTACCTCTTATTTACCAAAATTGCCCAATAAACAGGATATCGATATCAACTTTTATCGATTGCCTGGAAACGGAGTTAGTTATCGATTATCGGAAACAAACTTGACCTGCGCAGGCACTAGGAGCACCTACATCGAAAATTTCAAGTCTATAGGTCTTATATGTTCTGAGATCCTTGCGTACGGACAGACGGACGGACGGACATGGCTAGATCGACTCGGCTATTGGTGCTGATCGAGAATATATATATACTTTATGGGGTCGGAGATGCTTCTTTCTGCCTGTTACATACTTTTGGATTTCGCACAAATACAATATACCCTAATACCCTTTTTTAATGGGTTCAGAGTATAAAAAGGTTTGATAAGCTAATAAAAAATCCCCTTTAAAATTTTATGGAATTCTTGTTATCTGAATTGATCTAACTTCAAGATGTACATAAAAGATAAATATTTTCTGCAGTTCGGTGCTTTAACCATTTGGGAATTATTTGCGCATAGCATGTGCACAACTTCTTTCATATATTCTTCATAGTGCTGCATGGAGTGCAAGTTTGTGCTCAACCTAACCTTACATATATGTTTCCTGTCAGAAGCTCTCTCTCGCTCTTCCTCGTTCTCTCCCTCCCTTTCTCTTTCGCGTGGCCTGCGTTTTATGCTCCGCTTCACTCTATTTATAAATTAACTTGTCGTGTTCTATGCAAATTCAAAATCCACTTAATTGCAGCACAAGACGGCAAAATAAAATAAAACAACAAACTATTCCACAGACGCAACGTACTCATCCCGCGTACCTCGTCAAACCCCTCCAGATACCCTTCCCCTCAAAAGTTGGTGCAGCTACCGCTTAATGCACTTTCACTGTCATTTGTCATAAGTAGTTAGCGCTTGTTTGCCTGCCTGTTTGTTTTCTTCCACTGGCTATGTTTTCTGCTCGCTTTTATTGTTTTTTTTATTTATTCACTTAAGCTGCCAGGGTTGTAATTAGATCCGCCACGCCCACTCACACACACATTTCACATTTTCTGTGCTGCGTTTCCGCGTGTCAAAGCTTGAAATGCAAAATCGTTTTGAGCAGCATTCGTGCCAGTTGCAGATATATGCAAAAACAACTGATATAACAACAACAAGTTAATGAGAGTAACTTAACTACGACAAAAATTGAAGCAGATAAAACGCAGCAGCTGAAAACCCGGACAACAAGTCCGCCAAATAAAAATGTCAAAAAGCACTTCGAGCTATATGGGAAGGAATGTTAAAGGAAGTGAAAAGTTAAGTTAAGTTCCTAATTTGACTCACCTTACCTATGCCAGCTAAATGGTATTAATATTGTCTTGACAAGTTCAGTTTAGATGTCTTTTAAAAAAAATATTTGCATATAAATGCTATATTTTAGACTTATAGTGCTAGGTGGGCTTTACGTTATAGAGTTCAAGAGATGTCTTACTGACTGCAACACAAAAAGCAGATCATTAAAAAGTATTTTTGAATCATTAACAATGTTTTTGCTCGTTACACATTACTCCCCGCAGGGCTATGAAATCCTATTAAAAAGTTAAATTGAAATTAAAATCAAATTTCTTTGAATGAGTAATTTTTGCAAATATAAAATTATATGTAGAGGAAATATTTGAGTTCCCTCAGTTTACGTAATACTGTAATTAAAATGGAAACCTACAATATTGTAATAATTGTTTATTTTATTTTATCATTTATGTTATGCGTTACTTAACAGTCTCTGTTGCAGTCACTGTTAATGTTAAGCATAATGTAATGCTATTTGTCTTTGGCTAACTAAGAAACGCTAACAGAGCCCTAAAAGCGATACATTTCGTGTAATGTGTTTTTTATTTCGTGATAAATTTATTTGTGCCGGAAAAATAGTCTTTCAAGAAAGGTCTTGTGACTTGTGCAAAAATAAAGACCAATTTTAGGTCTTGTTACTGAAAGTTATCTGTTAATGTCGCTTTCTTAGTATTTTTATTTTCAAATATCAAGTATACGCCGTGTTAATTGTCTACGTGAGAGCAAAGTGAACGTTTGCACAAAGTTTCTGTAAGCTTTTTTGCTTTTTTTGTGACATTTACGTATACTGTGAAAATTGGATTATAGAATTTTGTAGCTTAAGACCAGCTTAACAAAGCCACAGCAAGTGGCACTCACTATAAAAGAAAAAAACCGAATAAAATTTAAGAAACGTAAATGCAACTCACGTAGGTAGCACAGACAAAAGGCAAAGATACACACACACACACACATGCACACACGCATAAAATCAAAGTGAAAGAAACCACAAAAAACATCGACATGAAGACCGCAAGCACCAATGAAAGACCATCAACGTCATCTTTGGGCTCTTGGCCTGCATATGGACCAAAGACCAAAAGACTTTTTTTCCCTCTCATGGCCTGGAAATAAAAAGGCGCATTTTGTTTAGCACATTTTGGCAGTTTGTGCACGACAAAACTTGACAATGGCTAAAGCTACGTGAGGAGCTGGCCAAGGGGCTTACCCGAATTTTTGTTGGCTACATGACAGCATATCAGGTACAGGCACTGCCACAGCCACAGCTATAGCCACAGTCACATCTTCGGTTAGTTCTACTGATGCCTCACCTGCTCACCAGCTCAGTTAGTGTTTTGCATTGTCTTGTGCGTCTCTGCCTTTTGAGCACGAATCACGTATGTCATGCTCAAGTGGCATACACGTAATGCCATCGAACTACATTTTCTTGGGTCCGTAGCATCAGGTTTTCACTTTTTGCCAAGTTTATGCGCTGTTCCGTTCCATTCTGTTGAGGTAGAGTAGGTCAATGGGCTTGCAGTTTGCGGCTTGCATCATTGAAATCGAAATGAGTTTTTTTTTTTTTTTTAACATTTTCTGAGACAACAATCTCTAGCGCATGTCTTATCTCTATGCGCTATACTAGGCAAACGAGAATTTTTCAAACAGAATTCGGAACATTTTAAATTTATAAGATATTTGGAGGCCATTTAGATTATTTAGAGAATTATTAATGGATGTGCCATTTTGGCTGTCAATTGTAACTATTATCGATAATTTTTAAAATAATTGATATTTTGGTTTTTATTATAACCTGTTTGTCCGCATGCGTCGATCTCAGATAAGAGCTGGAAATGTTGAATATATATCCTCTTTAAGTACGAACACGAGTTCGTTTCCGAAAGTCGAACAGTTTCTGTTTTAGAATCTTAGCAGATTTAAAGCTTCTTAATATAAAGTTGACTGGTTCGAAAGCGATTTATAATGCACATTTAAGAGCGCTTTTTAACTCTTTATTGGAAAGCAATTAAAAATCAATTAAGATCGATTTAATGACAAACATATATTGCATTTAATATTTCATTAACGTTTGCATTTGATGCTCAAATTAAATCAGGCATATATATGGTAATTATGCGTATGCAAATACTTGGGTTATATAAAGTACATATATTTTATTTACATATACATATATGCATGTGTAAATATTTTTTATATGCACGCATGATGTCGTTGGATAAAATGCCCACAAGGGGGGAGGTGGAGCAGGACGGATTAGAGACCCAACTTGAGCTCAGTTGAGCCCAGGCAAACTCATTACAAGCTCAAGACAAGAGAGATATAAGTAGGCTCGCAGATACAGTCAGCAGTCTGGGTAGGCAGGATAATAGGACAGCACGACAGCAGCTAGAATAACAACAACAAGGACTATACACACACACACACACACACACACACTGTGAAAACATTTGCCAAACATTTATAATCTAAACGCGAAAGTCAAAAGCAAAACAAAATCAACATACAGCGTAAAGCTCATAAAACAAACGGTAGCCAGCAGATAAAGATAAAGACAAGGAACAGCAGCGGCAACAGCAAATTGAATAAGTATCAAAGAAAAACACATCCTGCAAGCCCACCCGAAACAAAAACCTCACCACGCCAGTCGAGGCGTTGATAAAGCCAAAATAAAATATTATTTTAGAAAAAAAAGAAGGAGAACAAGAGACAAGGGTATGCAAAATACTCTCCTAGTGCTAACGAAAAATATTTGCACAATTTTATGGCATTATCTGCATTATCAATAGCAGCAAGAAAGCAAAATATTATTCTAGAGGTTGCCGAATAATGATTACCCTTACAACTTTTAATCGATTTAAGGATTAGGATATCTGAATCAAACAAAAGCTTTTCATTATATTCGTAATACCTGATTGTGTTTTCTAAGGAAGCTTTAAGATGTAGTAATAGAGTCTCGAAATAATGTGACAATTTTGAATCAATATTACAGCTATTTGATATTGAAATTTAGGAAAGCTCAACGTGTAAATTACATGTTTGACGGATTGTTCTTATGAAAGCCATCGTATTCTGATAATGCTAACAT